GAAGTATTTAGCACATTATCCTTGGGCATCCTAATGTCATCTATCAAAACTCTGAATTTTATATAACTTACCCTACTGCTAGAACAGCCCTGCGTCACTCTACATGTATTTTTCATTTATTAATGCTGGAAAGAATTCTGACTAACATGCTGCAATACTAAGGGACTTAAAAATTACGAAAATGATACCCAAATTCTTAATGATAAATACTTAATATGTTATAACCTCTATACTGTATGCAAATGAGTGCATTTATACCAAAAGGAATTTTAACGGGTGCAGAAGTCGAAGAAATTGTTACGAAGTATTAATGCAATTGCTGTAGGAGTCGTATTTAAGAGTGAAATTATTACAGTTAATGTAATTGATTTAATCGGAAACACCCTCAACAGCTGATCGGGATTAAAGTTTCTGGTCTTAATAATGAACTATTAACACAATTAGTATTATTAGCCCCAAGGATAATTCTTCTAGTCGAAAAGCTTCAGAACGTTTGGGTTTCTTGCATTTAAAAATAATGCGCTAATGAATATTCTTCAATATTCCTGCCTTGGTGAGGTTTGAATATGCTTATTTTGAACCTTTAATAAATTTGTTCTAGGCGTAATTTTGGAATTGACGAACGTAATTTAAAAAAAAAATGTATAGTAATTTAATCTAAAAATTAAATTTAAAAGAATGCTTTCTGTTAAGAATTTTTTTATTAATTTACGCAGTGTAATGACACTCTGTATATTTTGCGTGAAACTGATTTAACAGCGTAATATTTTTATTTACATTATTAATATTTGTGACAGTGTGTAGTAATTATGTTATTATATTCATCATTTATATAAACTCTTGAATTAGTATTTTGAACTTGCGGTAGTTGAGATTTTGGTCATTTTGTTTGGGTAAATTTGTTCTCACTCACCTTTCCACTTAAATAGCTATGATTAATTATACATCCTGTTTGTGAAGTGGGTGGGGTAATCGGATCTGATACTATACAGTTTATACAGCTATATACATCTGCCAGGATTGTACCCTTTAATCTCTTCTGGTCCAGGGGCTCTCCCGAAACAAGGTGAATGAAATTACACGGCCATAAATCAGCACGATAATTGATATTTATATAGATGGATGGCGGAAGAGAATAGTGGCATTGTTGAGCAAATTAGTGACGGTGGGTATTTAATATAGTTGTTTTAGGGGAAGTCTTTTCCTCTCCACGATGATGGATTGACCTTAACAGTGGGTGGTGAAAATTGAGACTTTATGTACTTTGTATGAGAATAATGTGATTTCAAGGTCAAAGATAAATTTTGATATGAAAACGTAATTATCATCAGAAGTTATAATTATATTAATATACCTTCATGAAATGTCATTTCCTGAAGTGGGCAATAAAACTGTTACAATGTTTGTGCGATGATTTCAGATGAAGTGTCTTCCCTTGGTAATTTCTATTTGTCTGTCCATCTGTCTGTTTGTTGGTCTGTCAGTTTTTTTACAGTGATGTTCTGTGTGTCTGTTACGTGTCTTTCTGTCTATTTCTCTGTCTCTTTCATGCACCCCTGATCTATCTGTCTTAATAATGATATATTTGTAAAACTTGAGTTCCATAAAAATTACTGATGCCTCAACATATATAATATCATAGAATATGGATATTTATTCTTCATATTCAGTCTAATTGATAACATGATTTTGAGTCTTGAAACAGATATGAACATTATGTTTATTTGCCAAAAAGTGGGGAAAAAATCAGTTTTAATTACTATAATTAAGCATAGTTACTGCTTCTTTTTGCTGCAAAATACTTTCAGTTTTATTTTAGAAGAACTGATGTATAAGATTACAGAAAAAATGGCAAACATTTCTGCCTAATATCAACAATAACATGTTAATTCTACAAAAAAATATTTGGGGGGAAAAAGGTTGTTATGACTTTCACCCCTTGTGTGCGTAGGAAAGCTTTCTTTTATTTCTAAATGTTTTATTGTGTAATAAAAGCTACATTGTAACATGAAAGAGGTTTACCTGCAGCGCTCATTATACAGTCTTTTTTTCGCTTCATGTTTATATACCGTAAACACTGTTCAAAACGCTCTTCCTATAATAAATGCCCCTTCAACTTTTTTCTGTGCTTTGAAGAAAATTCTTGCATTTAAGATAGTTCCATTAAAGCTGTTTGAATTAAAATAAATGCTTATTAGTTTATATAAAAATAAATAGTTTAATTTAAAGGAATGGACTAACTCCAAAATTAAGAATATTTGTGTTTTTCCCAACTAATCCATAGGTACAAACAAACTTTTATAGGTACAGCATCAAAAATAAGCGAAACACTGAGTGAGGTTGACTGATCAGTATAATGTGACGGGCTACCTAAGTGCACTGTGAAGCTTTAACGTTAAAAAGTACCTACGGATTAGCTGGGAAAGGAAGTCATTTCAATTTTGAATATTTGGAATTCAAGCAGCATCTAAATGTGTACTGGACAATATTTGGACTAAACTATTGGCAAAAATGCTTTGTTGATGGGGAGTGTTTGATTGGGTTTATATGGTAAAAAATAATAGGTACATAGGCTTAACAGAACTGTTATATTAGTAATGAATTTTCCTAGAATGCATTGTGGTATTTTTGTTTGATCATCTGGTTAAACATTAATTAGTAAAGTAATAGTAATGTTAATTATATTGACACCAATGTTTATGAATTAAAACAATTTGATTTGATTTAAATATTAAAAGTTAGAATATGATTTCAGTTTTTAAATAATCATGGCATTTATTAAAGGGACCCCACTGAGGTTTTTTGCCATGACGGGACTCGGGGAAATATTTTTCTGAGATTTGTATGCTGATTAATGAAGATCTGGACCAATATCATGTGTGCAAATTTTCAAGACATTCCTTCACCCGGTTGTTCCAGAATAATCATTTTTAATGTTGGGCATATTATGACCCAAAAATGAAAAGCATTGCTACCCTTTTCAAATAGAGCTATTTTTAGCATCACAAAAAATTTCAATTTTCAATTTCATTCTGATCATTATCTCTGTGTTAACCATTGCAGAGTGTTCCATTTGCTTTTTGAAAGATTTTCAAATTTTATGTTTTTAGGCCTAAATTGGACCTCTGAGTGAAGTTCCTTTAAAACTGTGATATTTCTCGGCCAGTAAACTTTATTTGAAATCTCAGTCCTGCCGTCACTCTTTCCTTCAGTACGGGACTGACAAAACAGTGGAATAATATCATGAGGCATCATGTCCGTTGGACACATTTCTAGTTTTGTTTTGTTTTTGGTTTGCTACTTTCAGATTATTTGATACTATCATTCTCAGACGCAAGTCTTGTGACAGTTTCTTTTGTAATTACAATGTCTGTGAGAATAAATTTCTGTGAATATGTAAATCAAGCGTCTGTTATTTGCTTGTTAGAAAACTTTCAGGGATGATTCCATCAATTTTGACTGTTATCGGAATAACTGAATAATGGTAAAGTACTTAAAGCTGAAGGTTGAACAATCCTCACATAAATTCTATAGATGTAAATCTATAAATGTAAGACCTGGTTACTTCTCCTGTTGTTTAATATATTGTCTTGCATTAAGAATGATAGGTTTTTACTTGAACTTTTTAAGTGTGTTTGTATAGTAAAACTATAGTGGTAAGGTAGACCCTACGCAGATGTTTAAGTTTGTTCAGATACTTGTTCAAGCAGTTGTGGTTATAGATATAGATTATTTAGAGAAGATTCTGCTTAACTGCTAAATAGACATAGGAGACCAGAAATCAATTGACAGGAATTCTGGGACATTCCTTAGGGCAACCACTACTATATTTGGGCCAGGGCAGGGACCACTTCATGTGTAACATAAAAAGTAAATTATATCAGTACTAATTGAAATGCCATAAAGACTGTAGATTTTGATCTTTAAAGATTTAATTGTATGAGTGATTCTAAGGGTTGTTTTTTTCCCCTTTAGATTTTAAGGGACCTTCATAATGCAAATCTTTCTTTGTGGTCTGGACGAGTTTGAATAATACAGGTTTCACTGTATATGAGGTAGATTTACATTTTTCCAGAGATGCACAGATGTTATTTAAGTCAGACAGAACTTGTGAGAGTTGCATATTCCTTGCAGTGATAATTCTGGCAGTATTAATCAAAAGAATGATTTATCTTCTGTCATTATGTTGTTGTGTTTTTTTGTTGTTTTTTTGCTTTCTATTGTTGTTGATTTTTTGAGTGTTAGTTTTAATAATAGTTTATTTGTAATTTTACGTGCTTGAACTCGAAGTGACCAACCTTTAATTAATTCGGATAATGTTCCACCCGTATAAAGACAAGTGGGCTTGCACATCTCAATACATGTATGTGGTCTGATCATGCTAAGTGTACTGTTTAAGCTCAATATTGAAATCCCTGAAATCTTGCTTTGTAAATGTTTTGGCTTTCTTATGCTGTCCTTGACCTTGTACAAATGTTTCTTGAACAATGGTGACTTCAGTTTTCAATGTTCATGTACAATATTATTTTAAGGCTTTAAAGGGCATTTATATTTCAGGAACGAAACCAAAAAGGAGAATTAATGCTTTAACCGACTTACCCTGCTGGAACCGAAGGTGATAAGTCCTTGCCACCAGTATAGAGCCAGGCCAGCCTGGACATCCTTGCAGTCTGACCAGGCTCTATACTGTTTACTGATTTTCATCTTTATATCCCAAAATTGATAATGGACCATTCCAAAATAAAAGTTTTAGAAATTAAGCAGATTATGCTTATGTTAGCAATATGCATAATTAATCATAATGACTGTGACACCTGAGACCCAGAACCATCTAATTCAGGATGCAGACATTAACGTGCTAGTGAATTTTAACTAAAGTTTTGATTTATGTACTGGGGTTAGTGAAAAATGCTAACTAATATATATATAAGACTGAAAAATATTCACTTTTTTTAACATATAACATATTTTTCTAACATAAAATGTTTTTCTATTTTCAGGGATTCCAAAAGCGGAGTTGTACTATGTACGGAATGGGATCCTCAACAAGTATGCCCTGTCATTCAATATGCCGATCCCACCTCAGATAGACTCCATTTTCTTCACATGGCAAAACTTGAGACCAAAACGACCAAAGCCACCAGATGTAAGTCTCTGCAATGTATATCAATATTTTGTCTCATTCTTGTCATTTTTGAAAATTTTATTTCATTTTAATTACTAACAAACTGGTTAAAACTGCCTCAGAAATGAAGACCACATGCCATAAAATATTCTGTTACTAAATGCTAGCATTTCATTTAACTGTACTTGTATTTTGACAAATCTAATTCATTTTAGTTTAAATTAACCTGTTTTAAGAGACCATCTTTAAGCTGTCAAAAAAAGCACCAACAACATCCAAACAAATAACAAACAAGACATGTGTTTTAAATAATTATAATTGCTGGTCTGTTGTCCTGCCACTCTTCTGTCACTCTGACCAAGGTCTTTCAAAGCAGAGCTTCTTCAGTAATAGACTAGAGTCTTAGATATATATTGTGTTTTTACATTTTTCGTTATAATATAAAGTATAATCTACTGCAATTTCAAAAGATTGCAAAAAGTAAACTACAGATAAGATTGAAGCATCCTCGCGTATTATTAGCTTTATTATTATCATATATTGAGACTGAACAAGCTGGCATTATAAAATTGCCAGATATCTTGAGCACAGTTTTCAGAAATTTGACAAGAGATCTGTGAATCTGAAAATAAATTAGCTCGAAAAACATCATTTGAAATATAGCCAGTCAAACTTTTAAATTACCAAAACGAGGTCAAAATATGCAAAAATAGTAATGCAGAAATGCAGTAGAAATATGGTGAAAAATACTGCAAAATCGGTCATTTGTCACAAATAACATGGAAATTATTATTTTATTAACCAGGTTTTCCGAAGGAAAAAACTGGTTATTAGATTGAGGTATGTCGGCGGGCGGATGGGCGGACGGGCGGGCGGGCGTAAACAATTTCTTCTCCTACATTTCTCAACGGATTTTGACCAAACTTTCACAGAACCTTTGTCATCAAGTGCCCTGGCGCATATTGTCGGGGTTTTGCCATTGGATAATATTTGACCTAATTATGGCCCTTTGTTGTTTTTTCCTTATATAGAATATATAGTGAACAATTTCTTCTGTGCGCAACTCCTCCTACATTTATCAACAGATTTTGACCAAACTTTTACAGAAGCTTTGTCATCAAGTGCCCTGGCACATATTATCGGGGTTTTGCGATTGGATAATATTTGACCTAATTATGGCCCTTTGTTTTTTTTCCTTATATAGAATATATAGTGAACAATTTCTGCTGTGCGCAACTCCTCCTACATTTCTCAACGGATTTTGACTAAACTTTCACAGAAGCTTTGTCATCAAGTGCTCTGGCACATATTGTCCGGGTTTTGCGATTGGATAATATTTGACCTAATTATAGCCCTTTGTTTTTTTTCCTTATAAAGAATATATAGTGAACAATTTCTTCTGTGCGCGACTCCTCTAACATTTTTCAACGGATTTTGACCAAACTTTCTCAGAAGCTTTGTTATCAAGTGCCCTGGCACATATTATCGGGGTTTTGTGATTGGATAATATTTGACCTAATTATGACCCTTTGTTTTTTTTCCTTATACAGAATATATAGTGAACAATTTCTACAGTGCGCAACTTCTCCTACATTTCTCAACAGACTTTGATCAAACTTTCACAGAAGCTTTGTTATCAAGTGCCCTGGCGCATATTGTCGGGGTTTTGTGATTTGATAATATTTGACCTAATTATGCCCCTTTGTTTTTTTTTCCTCAATATATAATGATCAAATTCTTCTGTGCTGAACTAGTCCTACATTTCTCAACAGATTTTGTTCAAACTTTCACAGAAGCCATATCATCAAGTGCCCTGGCGCATATTGTAGAGGTTTTGTGATTGGATAATTTTTGACTTAATTACGGCCCTTTGTTTTTTTTTCCTTATACAGAATATATTTTTTCCTTCTACAGAATATATAGTGAACACTTCTTCTGTGGCAATTCCTCCTACATTATTCATGTTTTACATTGCACATAGTTACATTGTTTATTGCTTGTATTTGTATTTCAAATACAACATATTTATCTACAATGGAGATAATTGAAAACCTGGTTTCGTGGCATTGCCATGTTTCTTGTTTAAATTTTTTTTATTTTTTTTTAAATCTTAGTATGTTTTTTTCTCAGGTTCGACTTTATCTAAATATTTTGGCTTATCTGGAGGCATGCAGCTATAAGTTAGTATTAGAAAAAAAGATTAAATTAAAAAATTTCCTTTCAGCTCACGAACAAATTTTTGTGCAAACATCACACTTATGCTAATAATAAGGCCGACTGTCATGATTTTGAGGCAAAAATACAAGGATAATAAATCTTGCAAATGAGTTTTGACGTATATATAAGTATGCTTTTGCAGTGACATAATATGACATGTTTTCATAATGAATTAGGGTATGGTATGAAAGTGTATAATGCCATGAGGACCGTTCATTTTATCTTTATAATGAAAATGGAGCCTGCTGATTAGCTCAACTATAATATTTACGACTCACCGCAACAATGTAGTATATTATTCTGTAAACTTTACAGAGTTACATCACTTTTGCATACAGCTGTAGAATTATGTAATATTTAGATAATTTATATGTTGTTTGGAATGCATGAGTGTATTTTCTATAGCAGAATATGATGTTTTACAAGATGAGGTTCAAAGTATCTAACCCGACCGCCATGAACATGCCAGATCCCAGCATAGCTCCCGACGGTGTCGTGCCAACAACTCTATCTAGTGAGTATTTAAATTATCCCACCTTTCAGCTTGACTTTACCATGTATATTGAGAGCTATTCTAAACATGTCAGTGTCTAACTCCAGTTTTCCGATTAAAGTTTTCCTGCAGTAAAATATATTTGAATTTTAGGGCTTCCATTAGTGGAAGTTTGGGAGTCATTTACTCCTTAATATAAGCTGTGACTTCCAATATAACTTTTCCAATTACCGGTAAAGTTTTCCTGCAGTAAAATATATCTAAATCAAAATCTTCTTTGAAGTTCTTTAGTATATATACCAATAACTCTGTGTTGAATTATGCCACATTTTTCTTTTACAATTATAGTTATTGTTTAACTTTGGTCCAAAATCTTTTATTTTGTTTCTTTTTGCCTTAACTATCACAGCACTGGTTTTACTTTCAGGAATTAAATGGCCCTATTTTGGGTTATCTTTCAGTTATTGTTAAATGCCTTTTCAGACATAGGTATAGGTTTTCTCTCTTCAGTATAATACATACTCTGTAACATCAGGCATACCCTTAAACATAACCTTTATCTTTTACCCCTTACCATGCTTAATATCTGATCAGGGTCGGGATGTAAGGGCTCCATGGGTAGATTCAGATGTCACCACCAGCCTAAGATGTTATTTACACTGACTCATCTGAATTTGTGTGACAGACTTGCTTTTCTTTGGGTTTTATAATGGCGGGTTTAAGCGAAGATTGGAGATTTTAGAACTTTAAATTCATATTTTAATAATGCCAATAACTATTACAGTATTACCTGACAGGTTTAGCAGGCATTACTACTTTATCAGACTTAGAACTTGAAAATGCCAAAATATAATTTATTAAGTTTCCATACACACAAAAATTCCAAAATTTCATGGCACTTGAAAAGAGTTTGTGAAAAACTGCAATAGGAAATCAAACTGCCAAAACTGACAGAGGTAATAGATAGATTTTTCCCTTTTTTCCCCTGAATTTTGTTGGCATTTTCAAGAGTCTCAGAAAACCACTTTGTTCAACTGTCATTATGCTTTAATAAATTGAATATTTTACCTACAAAAAAAAATTTAAATGTGTTTTAAAAAAACTTTTTTGAGTGGGTTTTCTTGAAAATTTAAATGTATGTTGAGATAAAATGTGAAATGTTTTGTTGAATATATTGAGTATTCAACAGTGTAAGTTTGGTTTACTTCTACTTTCAATTTCGTTAGAAATTTTGAAGGTATTTTGATTTTATGTAAATTTTAACACATTTTTTTGGTCATATCTCTCGGTCAGTCCACCTAACTGGCTTTCCTAGATACCTTATAAGTAATTACCATTTTTTCTGCTGGTGACTGACTACAGTTTGTACTTCAATCCTTACTTGTGCAAATACAAAAACTTTATTCAGCATTGAACATGTTAAAAGAATACTTATTGGTCCTTGAAATACAGTTTCAAAATGCTAGATGGTAAATGTACATCTATAATAATATGTATTTTCTTTATTCTCCAGCATTTAAGATAAACTTTCCATGCACGGGTGCCGTCACAACTGAGGTTGACGTGAACATACAGATGAACATCAGCATTTTCTCTGCGTCCAATGTTACAGTCCTCGACTTTAGACGCAAGAAATTCTGCACCAAAGGTTTGTTTTGCTGTCGTAACGTAGTTGTAACCAAAATCATTTAAATATCACCTAAGAGAAGGTTAAGAAAATGGAATTCATTATTTAACAGACAAAGCTGACCCTAATTGTTCATTTTGAATAGTCGATTCTCCTTCCTTGTTAGTTTCACTTTGAAACTATAGCTATATGCATCTGTTCTGTCCTAGACCTTTCAGTATGCATCACAGGGAAATAATACTTTTTGATATATATTTTTGTAACAAAATTTTTCTTTTGCTTAATGGTTTGAACAATAGTAAAACAACCTCCGGAACTAATCCTGAAACTCAAGCATTCTAGAAAGTCGGCTCCAAAATGCGAGATCTGTTTCGAGCAAAGTCACCAATTCAAGAGATGATAATTGCAGACGAGTGTGATGCATCCCGTCATGAATTAAAATGATCAACACAATTCAACTAAACCAAGAAATTGGGTATTGGTACATGCCTGTCATTTACACTGTCTTCCAGAAAAAAGAAGAAAGAAAAAAAAAAAACACAAGCAAAACTACCTCTCTTTTGAAGCCAGTTGCACATACGTTTTTTTATTTGTTGACTTTGTTGACTTTGAATGTTTGTCACAACCTTACCTTGACAATGTAGCTCAGAATTTCTTCATTTTACAGTAGTTTTTGCCTTTTGATTGATTTTATTTAAAGAACATTATATCCGTATCATGAAAAAAATTAACCAGTAAAGATGTTTAGCATTAAAAATTGAGGTAATCGCTAAAGTGCTTTAAAATTTCAAACATGATTTGTCTTGGACTGCTAAAACATTTTCTGCTGGCATTAAGTATGACATTAAAGTTTTCAGGTGTACATCATGGTATTAAGATTGACACATTTATTCACCTAAAGAAACTAATTCATGCTTAAACAAATAACATCGCATGCAATAAAAATGCATAATGCACCCTTTTAATTACAGCCATGCACAATTTAATGGACGGTTCTGATAGATCGGAGATCTGGCATCTTTATTGATACGTTTTTCATGGAAAAAATTCCCCGTTCTTGGGTAGATTGATATGGAATTATAGCGTCTTTTTTTCTTCCTTCCTTAATTCCCCTGAATGATACCGGTATCAAATCTTAACATCTGCTGCAGCTATGTGGATACAGTTAAATATGCAAAAAATTCTTGCCCTGCGGTAATTTACACTAATTAAAATAGGGAAAACAGAATCTATCCTGTACAAATCACATATTACAGTTCCTGTAATTAAGTTGAGATGAGAAATATTATATCTCATGCATGTTTTCACTGTTAGAATTCTTCCCGAGCTGCAAGCTGATCAAACAAGCAGTATATATACTACAATATCTTTCTATTCATGCAAAATAATATATTCAACTTGCAACAATAAATTGTATGAAGGGTGAATGGTGACATATTGGTTAAGGTTGGGAGTTCAAGCCCTGATTTGGCAACAGTTGTGTTTCAAATTCAAAAAAGAATTGTAAAATATTATCCAAAGTATTGTAATATGTAGTATAAAACAACAACAAAATAACTTCAAGAAAAACATAGGTAATACAGAAATTGTATCATTTGTTAAGATGAGATTATTTGTATGAAATATCAAAGCTATTTTCCGCTCACTTTTTCCCCCATCTATTATAACGCATATCTTGATTATCATATATAAATATCAATAATGTGTTTGTCATCTCGTCTAATAATAACATGGCACTCACGTTCTTCACAAAAAGCCTATAAGTGCATATGATATTACGGACAACTTTTCTCTCATTCTAATAAATGTAATTAAATGGGAATTTGTAGGAAAATAATAGGGTTCTAGCTATAAATCAATACTAATTCATCATTTTCTAAGCATTGCCTATGTTTGGTTTGTATAAACAAGCTATATAACCTTACAGTCGTCATTGAAATTCCATCAAGATTAAGCAGGGAAAGCCTTTCTGTATATTTGGGCTTTTAAGGATTTACAATTCGTGCCTAATTGATTATTGATCATAATAAGCCGTCCTGTAAAAAAAGAAGAGAAAAGGAAAAAAATGTGACCTGACTAACAGGAAATATAGTTGTTGCTAAATTAAGCTTTTGAAGACATGGTGGTACTGGTAATTTAGGCTATTGAAGTCAATTCAATTGTAAGGAAATAATACATTTAGCTGTATGAATTTATGCTTACTGGCATGCGAGCAGTTCCCGTACAGAAGCAGTACCCGTATTTTTCATTTAAACGCTTGATTTTTACATGCATTCTTCAAAAATTCATTTCAAATCAAGCAGATACATAAACGAGACAAAATCTAAGTGTCAGTTCGGCAGTACGTATAAAAAGTCTCATTTTAAATCACTTTCACCTGTGCGTTGTCAAAACGTGACCTTGTTTTATCTGGGGGAATTCCGTCTTTGCGCGCATGCGCAAACATACTTACACGTGAGGCATGTTAAAGGGTTTTCCACTAATACCACCTGTTTACAGATAAGAAGGCAATGTGATGAAAGCTTGTTTAATTATCAGAATTTTGACCAATATTACTATATAAAATAATTTTATGGCTTTGATGCGTAAAATATCATGCATACAAGCATGCCATCGCATGTGAATGCGTTGGGGGTAACGGTACCGGGTAATAGATACACGCGTTTAGTCTACTTTCTATTTTCTGAATTACATCTATTTATCTCATAGAAAATGGTCTGTTCAGCAATTATAAATGAAAAATAGGTCCGATATAATAAAATTGTATAATTATAATGGGTTAAATTTTATGTACGGGAACTACTTCTCTTCATACAAAATAATGGATAATTTCGGTACCCCATATGAGGCCTCATAACTAAGGGTTATTCTATGTTTAGAACATGATGGAATTTCCATGATTTGTGTGACGAGCCGAATATTGATGCGTAACATTCAAATTTTGGTGAGTGAGCGTAATAAAAAATAATGATTAAGTAACTAAGATTTTTGTACGGAAACTGCTCGCATGCCAGTACAGCAAATTTTTTTTTAGAGAATTTATTTAAATTGATTGGAACAGTTTGAGACGCCGCTTAAGTATAGAAAGTAGTATATCAGAATCAGTCTTAAATTCTCTAGGGGTTTCCTTTGGCAGAATGGTATGAAACTTGAAGAAAATTGAACTATTTTAGATCAATATTTACCATTTTGGGACATGCTTACATCATATTATGATGATGAAGTGTGGTAAAACAATATCGGCATTAGTACACTATACAAGGTTTCCAACAAGACATGCAAATATGCTGTTGTAATATTTGTTGATTTAACGTCTTTTTGTCAGACAAGCAAATTCATTACCATTCTATACTGTTATAGCTGTAGGTAGGGAATACTTCTAGGACTCTACTGGGACTCGTACTGACTTGATATGTAGTAAAAAGTATCTCAGGAAGTTCTTAAAACTATTCAATGTCACGCAAATGAAGTGAGTATAGCTACTTCATCACGATATATTCAGACATGGGTAATAAAAAAAAAAGTCGACCTGCAAAAAAACCACATCAGAATTAGCAAAGACATTATAACAACTAGAGTTACTATCTGAATAAAAAAAATATGAGGGAGAAAAAAAGTAAAGAGCTAAAAGGCAAATCAAGTATTCAGAGGTGAAGAAGATGGCATTTGTAAACATACAATTAGACAGAAAAAAGTCTTAGTGCCATCGGCAGAACTAGGAGAAAAAGACAACAATGTTTATAATTTTTATATATCCAGGAATTTACTAGGTAATACCACTGAACTCAGTTGAAATCCATCATAAATAAACCGCCACCATTATGTTTATACTCACATAATCTTGTTTCCTTGTTCACCCCATGTTACTCCTAAATCCAATTTTTACAACTTCTTAATATTTATTTTCTTGCTCAATTGGTTTGGAATTAACCATGAAAAAACCATAAAATATATGGAAGAGAGTAGGTTTTCTTGTTTCTCTGCCACCTTGTATGTATGTTATGTCATTGAATGATGTTTTCATTATTTCATTGGCACCGAGTATACATGTATATTTAACCCTGAATGATGACATCACCCCACCCACTTATTTTACCTGTTATCACTTTTTTTCTTCACAATTTACATGTTTTACATGTAGCTACCATATTGCAGTCGTACAAATAAGGGAACTCATGCTTAAAACAAGTTTATATGTGTTGTTATGTAATAAATTAACAATTAATAATTTCTTAACTGGAATAATTTTAACATAGAGATGCATGGGTGGGGTGGGGGGAGCTGAAGAACAAAGCCTTAGAGCCTTATAGTCTCTTTTGTCCTTTATAATGTAATTTGTCTGGAAATTTGCGATTATGACTGAAAATGCATACATACTAAACTTTGTTTAAATTATTACACTCTATAAAATACAAATAACCCCAAGTCTCAAGAACGAATAAGAACTCTTCACATTTCATAGATAACATGTTCAGATAATGTAATCAAATTAGATTCCATCCGTTCTTTTTTTTTTTCATCGGCCATAAATTTTATCAAGTAGCGATTATTATGCGCAAATTGTTGAATATATCTGAAAGTGGTAGCACTGATATGGGATTACTGGGCCTTTTCTATTCTGACATTTGAAAGTGATCTGTTTAAAAGTGTTATGATATACTATATACTTTTGTCTAGGGGTCGTTTAATTGTGTTTATTTTTCCGTGGGAGTCTTGTTTCCCTTTCCAACACTTCACTGTTTTAACTTTTATACCCTGTCGAATTTCGATCACATAAATAGATTTTATTTTGCTATGATTAAATTTGAAACTGTCAGTTATAATAATTTAAGTGGGTTTCGATTTCAAAATATCATGATTCATGATCTGCCAGTTGTGCTTTATGCACCAACAGAAAGGCAAAGTATGTATGCCATTAAACAAAAACGTGGAGAAAAAAAGAACGAGAGTTGGCGAACAAAATTATAAACTTAAATTTGGTTACATGATTGTATAAGCCTTAGAATGTTATTTGGTATTTT